TAACTTATCCCTAAATGTTGTTTTAATCAACTTCAAAAATTGCAAAGAAGCAATTCTAGAAGTTTTTTTTGTCATTTATTTCAGAATAACAATAAAAGTTTTTTCATCAACGCTGTTAAAGTTGTTGAACTCAATTTTACGCGTTAAATTTATTCGAGAAACTACCTGCCAATTTGCAATCCCCCAAAACCGTCGACGTCTTCTCTTATTTTGCATCTTTAGAAATATTTGCAGCAGATTTTTCTACTTTTTTTTTTTTCATAACACACCTATTTGGTTTGCTTTGACGCATTGAAAAAAAAAAAACTACTTTTTGAAATAAGGTTTTATTTTTTGGTGGAGTCAAATTACACTGCAGTTCCGTTTTACAACATATTCCAACCAGTTGTCTTTTTAACCAGCAAAATGACCTGATACGAATCATTTAAGCAATACAATAAGAACTGTTAGCAACTGAATTACTGAAAAAAAAAAAGACGTTTTGAAATTACCGTAAGCTAAGAAAAATCAATCAAAGTGGTTTCAACAGTCGCCTAAAGATATCAGAATGAAAGGACAATAGAATCCAAGCTTTTGCAGATTATTATAGCAATATTATCGTATAATCAATAGTTTCAAATGTATGATAAAATGTGATAGGTTGATTAACCGAAAGACAAAAAAATTAACACAGCAGTCAAAAGAAAGCGTAATTTTTGAAGTTTTTTTTAAAATTAAGGGTTTTATTATTCACTTCCGGTATTTATATCAAAAGAAAAAATTGTTGTTACCACTTTTTAAATCAACATTACTGTGACGGTAATATGACTCACAACGGATGCCTAAAATGCTCGTGAAGTGACTAAAATGCTCGTGAAGAAATCAGGAGAAAGAGCACAAGAAATTACTTAATTTAATGTATTTTTGGCTAACCTTAATACGTTATACATTCTCTGTTCCTAAAAACTTCTAATAGATTTTGCTGTACTCTGTTTAATAACATTTCATTTTTTTTTCCTCATTTTATATAGCCCAATATACGTTCAAATCAGCAGTAAACTTCAATGCAATCAAGAGCCAAACCAATATTTTTAAATGAAATGAAGCTGAAAGCCCAAAATATCAAATAATTTTCCAAAAAAAAGCACACGGATGGAAGCAAATTTAAGAGAAGGCTTTTTGAAGGAAATAAAAATTGTTGGAAAGTTGGGACTGATTGTAGGAGAAGAAAAAAGCAAATTAAATAAACTGTAGTTTATCAACACGCAGAAAAACAAAAAACCAAAAAAAAATCTTTCCGTTTATATGCTCAAATAATCTCAGATATTTGCTTTCACTCTTCGCATTATCTAAAATTTTAAAACTTCAGATACTTTTAAAACAAAAAAAAAAAAAGAAATACCAATGTAGCACTCAAAAAAAAATAGCTTTGATCTGTATTTTCACAGTTCTGATAAACCGATTAGAATTAAGCGCCATAAAAGATTACGAATAAAAACTAAACAAAAGAGGAAAAAGTGTAAAACTGAAGTAAGAAATGAAAAAAAAAAATGAATAAACAAATAGATAGATCCGTTGTAAACCCAAACTCGTCTAAAGAGTTCTTCTCAGACAAAATAGTTAACAGAAAATTTTCATTTTCTGTTCAACTCTATTTTTTGACTACAAACAAAACAGAATAAGGCAATTACGTATCCAACAGCTGATTTTAAATTAATTAACTAATCTGTCGCTAAGCACTTAAATCAAACAACACTTCTGCTTCTAATAATTTTCTATTCCAGTTTTTTTTTTTTTTTTTGCAACCGAGTAGCTTTGCACTGATACTTTGTTATTTTTACGAACATATTGTGGAATAGCTAATGTTCCTGCGAAAATGATCGAAATGTTTATGGCCGTTTATATTCATTTAAAGCACAAGTGTATTCCAACTTCCTTCTTTTGTAGCGCTCTACCATCAACCTTTGACGTCTCCGTTTAGAAATACCGATTTAGATCTGCAAACTATTTCACTCGTCAATTCCTTAAACAACCAGTTCACAAGCTGCCAACCCAAACACATGCTAAACAATTGACAAATCTCACTATCAAAAGTTAAAAAGTTTTAGGTGTTGTACTGTATTTTCATTGCCCTTATTGATTACAGTTTTCATAGAACTAATTTTTTTCAAACTTCATTAACCTTTGAAACCAATCACAGCCAAACATGTTCTTCTTTTCTTTTTTTTTTATTTTTCTTTCTTTTTTTCTTTCCCATTATCAAATTGGCCAACAGTTCAAAATTCAATAGAGAATAACAAACAAACAAAGAGTGCACATCTCGACCTGTAAAATTGATAGATGATTAAAGATTGAGCATTTTCAGAAAAACACTGTTTATTTAACACAGTACTACAGTTTTTCCGATGGAAAAATAGTCAAAAGAAAAATAAAACGACACTCAATGAAACAATGTTTAAACCCCCATAATAAAGCAGCAAAAAAGAAAAAATGAATAAATGAAAGAGAAAAATCCTTCTCTTCCTCCAATTTAATTTCAAGATTCATTGTCTATGCAAAAGAAGATGAAGAAAGATGCGCCCAGAATTGCAAATTTTAAGCATTCAAAATCAAGAAGAACGAAATCTGCCCAATTTAATTTCACCAAATGGGTTGAATTCGTCTTCGTATCCCTACCAGTTTCTTGCGCACCATTAGAGTTGTCCAAAAAATAAATCGATTTGCAGCAACAACGTCCTAAATTCTCTAACAAGACGAAAACTCCAACACCATTTTGACAGCGTGTGATGAACTGAATTTAATTTTTTGCTACGTAATTGCCACTTTCAGTATCATTTTAATGCACTGATCTTCTGCCTCTCCGCCACCCCCTCCCTGGTGCCTTCGCTCCAACTAATGGAACAGCCTTTTATCCAAGTGCAGTAATTTATACATGCCATATTCACAGATTTTCTTGCTCAACGCTCAGCTTTTGTTAACCAACTTATACAGTTGATGAAAGATGTCTTTCTGGGAGAAAAACAAGTGCTCAACTAGCCCTTGTTTTCTTATTCAACATTGACAAGTCAGCACTCTCAAGTCAACTGTCGCTATTTACCAAACCCAAATTTTCGTCACCTTACCCACCATCATTCTGTCTGCTTCTGTCTGCCAACCTGCCCACTCGTCTGCCTGTGTCTGTTCGTCTACCTTTCCATCTACCTATCAGTCTGTTTACCCGTCTGTCTGTCAATACATTGTTCTAAATACCAACCCATGTACCTATTCATTTTCCCAACTATCTACCAGTAAAATTCACTAATTGACTATCCACGCAGCTATCTATTCGGCCATCGAACATTGCTCTCAAATATTGCAGCCGTATATTTTTTGCTCATTCTCTTATCAAGACTAAATGTGAGTAAAAAAAACAAATATGTACAATTTTTCAATCACGATAAGCCTTCATTTCTTCTTTTTCTGCAGGCGGTAACAATAATAAGTTGTAAGGTGTCAGAAAAAGGAGAACAAAATATGAGGGAAAAAATCAAAAGAAAAAACAAAAAAAAGAAAAAGAAAGCTCCAGAAAAATTTTAATAAAATAAATGCCTCTTTTTTAAACAGTTTCTTAATAATAAGAGAAAATAGTATTGTTTGAATGATAAACACAATGTGAAACAATTACTAGAAAAATCAAAAACTAAACACAAAAATCACTTGCTCTTCCAGGTTTGATGTTACTCATTGACAGTTCATACTGGCAATGTTCAATAATAATGAATAATGATGGCAGAGATAATAATAATAATAGACAGTAATAATAATAATAATAATAATAATAATAATAATAAACTTTTCAAAAGCCCAGACAAAGCAAGTCCTACCCGTTAAAAAACTGCTTCCTAATATTTGAGAGGGAAAAGGTAAAAGATAAAGGCAACAAAAATCTGGAATGCTTTACAAAAGATATGATATATAAAAGAGAAATTCTTTGTTTTCAAAAAAAGAAAACCGTCTGTATTTTGTTCGAATGATTTTGAAACCTTCCTACTCAAACAGGTATACATTCTCCACTCTTCAAAGCTAAAGCGAGAATAAAAAAGGTGTTTGGTAACAGTGTGACCTTGTATTTGCTTGGAACGTTGCCTTAAATATCTTGCTAGGCTCTTACTTGAAAATATGTTTGCAGGTTTGTAAAAATCAAAGAATAATAAAATTACCGTTTTCTTAATTCTAGTAACCTTCTTCAATCCTCATTAGATTGAAGGATATTTAAGCCTAACCAAAAGCCAAAACTCCATAAAACTTCTTAAAAATGCGCTTCCACCCAAGTTTCTGCTAGTGCTCTTGGTTACCTTAATTAAGCCTTTTCATTCTTTGTGAACAACCTTCTCCCAAAAAAAAAAGTGGACTAAGCTAGATTAGTTCTCCTGAGCATTGTTTACAATGGTTATTCCTAAATGATCTATTTATCAAAATAGTGGTGGTGCGACTAAAAACATTAGTCTGTCATCAGTGACCTTAAATTGGAAAAATAATTTTCATCTCAAAATCACCATAAAAAACAGTATGAAAACAAAATAAAAAATGGTGCTATCCATCAAGCACCATAAGCGTTCTGTTTTGTTAGTACTATAATGGTACAACCTACACAATCAAAAAGGACACCTTACGAAGATAATTCCAATTATACTGCCAAACAATTTAATTTTTGCAAAATATTTTGAGCAAGGTTTGCAATCACTACTGGCCAAAAACTTATCAGATCCGCTAGAGATATAAAGCACCTAACAAGTCACTTACCATGTCTAACCTTCTACCAATACCTAATGAAATAAAGATTTCAGCAAAAAGTGAACTGCAAGTTATCTTACTGCTAAATACAATAAATGCTTGATTGATAAAACGAAGCGACATTCGGTCTGAAAACAGCCTGCTGCTCTATAAACAGTAAGAGAACTAAAGAGAATGAAATAAATTTAAGACGAAAAAACAGATTTTTGTTCATGGTCAACAAAGCTGATAGACGTTGAAACCAATGACTAGTGAGCCACTTTTGGAATCCCCATACACCATTCAGCAACACCAATATAATAGACCATTTGAGCAATACCGAAAAGAGGTGCCATTACCATTACACGACACGCAGCACCTTTAAATAGTGCTTTAACGCCTTCCTGACGTAGAATCTTGCTGAAAAATTGAAACTTCAGCTTTCTGAATTGCCTAGCCATTTTACCTTTTCGGCAAATTCGTTACCCGAAAAAAGTCAGCCTAGTGCCGACAAAACAGACAATTAATTCATGCTGAAAAGCAAATTCAAAAAAGCTTCCCTATATAGAAGTGAAATTCTCCTCGGTTTACATTGAAAATCAATTATTAGCTACATCGAATGCACTGTTAAGCAGTAATGAACATAAACAGATAATGAATAGTGCAAGTGATAAAAAAAAACGATGATAAAAAAAAACGACACTGGCACTTACATGAAAGCTTCACCAATATTTTTATACTGAATTTCTCCCACTCCTCTTTTGATCAACTGCATACGAGTCTTGATTACTGAAAAAAATGAGATAAACTTAAGACTTCTAGAGGCACATGAAAAGCTAACCATCGAGAGGAGTCACAGAAAACGATGCTATTGCTCCAGCAGTAATACCAGAGAGGAATGAACAATAAAAAACAGCATCACCACTTCCATCACTTGAGCGGGGACCCTGAAATATAATACCTTAAACTTAAAAATAGGAGCATTAAGCTATTAAATTCTTTGAAAAAAGTGCTTAAAATTCCTTTTTCAACTTCTAAACACAATATAAAATTAGTTGTTGAGAATATAAAAGTTACCAAACTATCAAAATATGCGAACATTGGAAAATACATCACAGAAAATGTGACATCCCTAGCTAAAGTCGGACCTAAACCTTTGTACAATCCAGCAATTCCCCTCTGCTTAAGCAACTGCAAGGTTAACGCGGAAGCAGTTAACTTCTTCATAGGTGCTGCCGCTGAAAAAGAAAAGCTGTTCTAAGAAAAGCAAAGTACTTGGTAGTAGACATTCCGATGACAACTTGCTTTGAGTCCTTCCAGCATCCTGCATCTGAATCTTCAACAGTTCCATTGGTGTAGTGACAATAATTTGGCAGAGTCCTGCACCTCCCCCAGCAATCATACCTCGAAACACAGAAAGTTTTTCCTGGCCAGGAACTGCAAGATGATACCGGAAGATATCATTTGCCACAAGTTTTATAGCCTTTTCTGGCGTTATCAGCAAAAGATTAACTCCTGCTCCTGAATACAGCCCTCGGAATTTCGAAAATAGTGTTCTTCCTCCACCTCTCCATGTTTGCTTCGCGCAATCAATTCTGTAAAGCAACAGAAGTCTAAAGCATCCCTACTTCTATGTATAAATCATTTCAACAATCGTACCAATAATTAAAACATAAAATCTAATGATATCAAAAATCGGGTATAACGCCACTGGTGTTATAAAGAATAACACTACGCATCCTACTAGCGCAACAAATTTGAATAAAGTTGGATGTTTTCGAAAAGCGAGAATGATTCATCGTTATTATCAGCCTTGTTATTATCGATGTTGATATTATTACTGTTGTCACCATAACCGTTGTCCTTATTATTATTATTGTAATCAGTGTTATCTTTTTTTGTTCCTATTACTACCGTTACTTCTGTAAACCAAAATATTTACATTCCAGAATACTGTGCTTTGCCGTCAGGAGACACTCTTTGGTTCTGCAAACGAGTCTTTACAAGATCAATCGGGAATACACAGCTGACACCAACAATCCCGGCAATGCCACCGTTAAGTATCTTCGGGACATATCTGAAAGAAGCAAACGTTAAAGGAATTTACTAGACAGCAATAATTTGGCAACACTTTAAAAGCCGCTCTTTTTTGATCTTTTGTCTATACTACAACTTTGACTTGGCTGCTTAATTGTTCATGTCTAACAGCAGTTCTGGCTACTAGAAAATATGGCGAAAAACGTAGATGGAGTGGAACAAAGACAATGTGATGCAACAGATTACTGCAAAAACTGCATCTTGAAAGTGACGTAGTTTGAGTTAGGTTAGATGACGTTGTCATCCAACAAATTCCATTTGATAAACATGAATTTATCAGCAAAAACTATCTTGAAATTTAAAGCGAGACTGGATAAAAAATTATCAATTTCAAAATGAGCTTAAGTGGATACCTCGCTGTTATATATTGCTACTGACAAGAAAAATCCTTCTGAACTGGAAAAAGATATAAAAATTTGTTTAACTCAGCATTTGACAGCTGATCCTTAGTCAGGAATATTTCAATCAAATTTTTGTCGACATCAAATTAGGGGTAAAATGAGAACATTTGGCGTTGCCAGAATGATTAAAAGAAATATTTCACAAAAAACTTGTTTTCTGGTCTTCGTAGGTTACAACTTCGCTACAGTGCAATTAAACTTCTTATTCAATCTATTTTACTCCCCTTTGACCAGACAAAATTCAGAGTCAGACAAGTCCAATTCCCCAATCTACATGTTTATGTAAGTTTCTCAGACACTTTACTCAACTCAAATGCTGAATACTTTTTTTTTTTGAAACCTAAAAAAAATCAAAGTTTGTAGTAAAATAATTAATTTTCAAATCATAAATTCATTCCATGATTCATTTTAAATTGTTTTTGGCAAATATGCCTAAATTGATCGTGATGCACTGCAACTAAACTTGGACTTTTGCCTTCAACGACTAAGTAGGTAGTTCAAAACTAAAAAATCTTCCCGACACCTAACTAGAATGGTTGTTTTATTTCTATGAAATGGCCATCTATTAACAACCAAAGAAACTATAGATAGGCAGTACGAATTTTTTTCTGGCAAACGGCGTCAAAATTTTCAAAAAGTTTTGCCATCTGCCTAATCCATCCGTAATTCCAATGAACAGAACAAAACAGAAAAGGAGAAAAAGCAGCGTTAGACAAGCATAGTCTGATCGCTCAATTGGCCCCTTACCAATATGTGAATCAAACTTTAGAAGAAAAAACTTCATGTAGAGAATATCAAAAATGAACACATCTCATTGCGATCGGCCAAGAATTGCCTTTTAAAATACTATTATCTGCTACTTTTCCTTCACTCCATTGTTGAAAAAGTAGTTAAAATTTGTTAGAGTCAAGAATTTTAGAAAAATGAAACAAAAAATTCACAACAGATAAAAATCTTTTTCA